CCTGGAGCTGCAGAGGAAAACTCCCCCCTTGTGCAGGATCCCTGCTGCAGCAGAGCCACAGCTGGCACTGCAGGAGGGCTGAGCCCCCTGGGATGGGGCTGGGACACCCCCTGGCACACAGGGGGGTGTCTCAGACATTTTTTCACAGAAATCCTTTCTTTGGGATTTGTGCATCTTCTGGGAAGCAAAGGGCCCCAGAAGAAGAATGTAAACAATTGTTATCAGCTGCTGTGAAATGCAGCAGGTGATCCTGTGATTGGCTCATCTTCCTTGTGTACCATTAAGGGCCAATCACAGGAGCAGCTCAGGGACAGATTCCCTGCACACAGAACTTTGTTATTCATTCTTTCTATTCTATTCTTAGCTTAGCAGCTCTCTGCAATCTCTCTCCTTATTCTTTTTAGTATAGTTATGATGTATTATATATCATATATCAATAAATCCAGCCTTCTGATCAAGAAACAAGATTCTCGTCCTTCTCTCACCATGGAGACCTCCTCAGGTCGCTGTAATAGGGGGGCAGCTCCTATTCTTACTTTGTCAGTGGTTTTTATTTTTGTTTGTACTATTGCATTTGTATTTTTAATTTTCCCGGTAAAGAGCTGTTATTCCTACTCCCATCTCTTTACCCGAGAGTCCCTTAATTTCAAAATTACAATAATTCAGATATAATAATTTGCATTTTCCATTTCAGGGAGGCTCCTGCCCTTGCAAAGCCCCCACTCCATACCTGCAGCAGAGGCTCCTCTCAGCTCAAAGAACACAGGGCAGCAGCGAACAGCCAGAGTGCCCTTGCCAGGACAGGGCAGGTGACCCACGGGCCTTCAGAGAGAGCCAGGAGTTCAGAAAACAACATTTGCACTATTTCAATTGGTTTATTTTTAAATCCAAATCAGATTTTTATCTCATTCAACCCCTACCTTTTAAGATTGTTTCTGGAGAAAACATAGGTTGTGTTGGTAACGTTCTCTCCAGATTCCACACAGCCAGCTGCAAAAACAAAAGTTCCAATGTTACTCATCACCTCAGAGAGCTCCTGAGCACACACCTTGTGTCCACAAACATTCCAGTTCCTGGCAATTTGGCTTCTCCAGAAATATTCTAATTCCCAGGAATTAAGCTTGTCAGTTGGGCAAAAGCTGGATACAACTTAAAAAGGCATCCCAAATATTTATTTAGTGCTGGTTTTGTTTTCCCTTATACATTTCCCTCTTCAAAGCTGCTTTTTGATGTTGCCAGACATCAATAAAAGCAGGGTTTGGACAGGCACACACTGATCCCTCCTTGCTGGGCTGTTTTTACTCTGAATGTTCTGAGGGAAGGACAAATCAAAAAAAAATCCCACTCATTATCCTTCATTTCTGTCTTAAGACTTCTGGTGTTGCAATTTATCCAGCAAAAATGTCATAAATATCACTTTTATCACAGGAGAAAGTTGGTGTTGTGGATTGTTAATGGAGAATACTGTGGAGGTTTTATTTTCTTCAATAAGGAGAATGAGGAATGGCTTAATTAGGATAAATCAGCATCTCT